CAGCTAACCTCTGTTTTACTTCTGCCAACCTTTAATTAGTGCTTCATTTACCCGTGGGGATCTTTGGGTCCATCCAGGGCAAACCTTGAGGGTTGTTCACAATGCAAGCACACCATGGGGCTCAGCCAGGACTGAGCCAGCAGACAGGACCAGCTGTGAGGACCGAGCGGCGCTTCTCACCGCTCCCCAGCACCTCTGCCTGCATCCTCTGGCTTGGAGCAACAGCAGCTGCCGAGGCCCATGGATGCGGCCTGTTTCTCAGCAGTTCCACTTGGGGCCGCAGGGTGCTGCCCGGGGGCTCTGTTCTCTCACCACAGGGTAGCGTTTCAGGTTGTGAACTGATGGGGCGGGGGGTGTGAGTCTGCATGTTTGCCTGCAGAAGGGTGTTGGACTGTGACAACAGGGCCTGGCTTTTGGTCTTGTGCTGGTATCTACATGCCAGGCTATCTCTCTGAATCACCGCCTTTAACACTACACAGGTGCCACCTCATTCACTGGCCATGGCCACTCTCCCAGGTGGACAGCTTCTTTTCTCTCTTCTATTATTGGGGAAACCGAGAAACTGAGGCAAAAAAGTAAAGAAGCTTGGTGAGAGCCACATAAGGCATTGGGCTTCACTTGAATTTTTTTTTTTTTTTTGGTCTTCTTGAGACAGGGTCTCACGATGTGGTTCAGGCTGTCCTTGGGCTCACTTTGCAGCCCAAGCTGGCCTTGAACTCACAGCAATCCTGCCTCAGCCTCCTGAGTCCTGGGCACGCCGGCCTTGGAGTGGCCTCCTAGCTGAGGTCTGTGAGCCTGAGTCTAAACAGAGGGGGCAGTTATGTGAGGCCTGGCGGTAGGGGATGACAAGGCGGACCACAGATAAGGAGCGAGGAGCTGGCCTCTGGGAGGTGGAGGCAGCTGCTGGGTTGCAGCTGAGGGTACCACCCTGCGACTGGGGTGTCTCGATGCTATCTGGGATTGATGGAGAGGTGGCTGGTGAGATAGTGCATTGGGGGAACGGCCCTCACCCAGCCACCCTTGATAAGCTGGGACAGGAAGTGTGAGAGGGGGAGGGCTTCCTCTCCCTGCTGACGCATGGGGTTGTCATCTGCCTTCCTCTCCCAGGCGACCCTGAGGGACCTTAGGGAAATGGGCACAGGTGAGGAGGAGGCGATAATAACCATCTAACATAACGGTCTTAGTGTGTGGCAGGCTAGGCACCCCCCCCCCCACCGCCCCAGTGGAGACTCAGGGACAAGGTGTGCAGCCCCAAGATAAGTGGCAGGAAGGGGTTGGCCCTGGGATCTGATTGCCAGCTGTGGGGAAGGTGAGGCAAGCCAAGTCATGCAGGCAGAGCCTGGCTGCAGGACTGTAGGGAGTGGCCTAGAAGCTAACAGCTGGGGATATGGGGGTGGGGGGTAGCCAGGCACAGAGTTCAGATTTTACCCTGAGAACCACAGAGGGAGGGAGCTGTCTTCCTAGGGAGGGAGTTGGCCTTTGAACCCTAGAGTTGGGGTGGGAGGAGTCTGATGTCATCACCCCACCTAGGTGATCTCTGTCCTCACTACCCTACTGTGTCCCCAATGTCAAGACCCCCAACAGTGTCATCAACGTCACTGTTGCACCGTGTGCCCCTGAGGTGTATCGGGCCTCCTCCCAGGATGTCCGCTGCTGGTGTCTCTTCCATTGCCACCACCCCTGCCATGTTTGCAGTCACCTTGCTGTCTCCAGCCACTCCACTGCCGCATCACTTTGCATGCCACATCAGCTGCAGCCACACCACACAGCTCCTCCCTCCAGCAAAGCTGCTGTCACCTGCCCAACATGTTCCTCCAGGGATCAGCCTAGCCACACTCAGTGTCACCCTGCCCCATCATCCCCATAGTCTCTGTCTTCTCCTGCATGACTTTTGGAGCTCAAGCTCTGGGCTGCAGCTCAGAGCCACTGGCAAAGAAACCACGTCTCCTGTCCCCATAGACATTTCCTCCCCAGCTCAGCTTAGGGAAGCAGAATGGGGAACTGAGACTGAGGAGGAGCAGAGGAATGGGTGAAAAAGGGGAATGGAGAGTGGAGTGGCAAGGACTGGACTGAGGGGGGCTGGAGGCCAGTGGAGGGCTAGGAGGGCTGAGCTGGCCCTGATGTGCACATCCTGCGGGGTGATTGGGAGCTGGTGTCTGTCTCTGGGCTTCACTTCCCCACTACTAACGGCCCCTTTCTCAGGGAAGAGACAGCTTCCCCTGGGGGATACAACACAGCTGTAGGCAGGCCTCTGGGCCTTTGCGCATGATGCTGCCTTTCTTGGAGTGCTCTTTGTCTTTTCTGTTGGGAAGCTCCTACATCTGGAGCATGCTCTGTCCGAGCCTTGGCTTCCCACAGAGTCTGGCACCTGCAGATCCGAGTGGGTGGCTAATTGAGCTGGACGGAAGCTGTAGGTGCTCAGAATATTTCTGAGGGGTGAACGAGGCCCACGCAGAAGGAGGCCGCTGCTCTGCAGTGCTGGCCCACCGGCACCTGCGCTGCCCTTTCACCTTCCACAAAGGTGGGGCCAAGGCAGGTGCAGCGCTCACCCCAACCTCCAGGCCCTGGGCATGGAGCCTGAGGCCCAGAGAGGCTAGTAGCTGACTCAGGGGCACAGAGCTGGTGGGCCCAGGTCCATCTGATGCCAGCCCCCGGCTCTCAGGCACAGTTGCCCTCAGAGAGCCAAGAAGCAGGGGCTGAGCTGATGGTGCAGGGGGGACATCTGGGTGGCAGAGGGTGTCTGGATGGACACTGTGGAGGAGAGAGGCTTGTTCCCCATGGCAGGATAGCCTGGAAACCCAGATTTGGGGCTCTGGCCCTCTCCCCAGGTCTGGTTCTGCTTGAGGACTTAGAGGAAGCCATGCCATCTTCTAGTGGGTAGGGCACAGATTGGTGGCTTTGCGAATGGGAGACGCTTCAGCCTGCGTGTGACATGCCACAGTGTGTAGGAGTTCTAGCCTTACAACCTCCTTTGTTCAGTTTGCACACGGAGGTGACTCCTTGTTCTGGGAAGCTGAGGACCCCGGCCCCAGCTGTTGGCCCTGGACTCCTACTGTCCATGGTGGCGTTGGCTGGCCTGGGCTGGGCACAGGAGGCTATGAGATCAGGAGCTGCACCCGCTGCCACCAGCCCAGCCCTGAGAGGATCCCCGGCCGAGAAGCAGAAGCAGCAGGCCCCTCTCCAGTCAGGTGTTGCGGGGCGCAGCAGGGGTTGGCCTCTGCCCCTCAGCCTGTTGTCAGGTCAGAACATGGCCGGCACCCAGCTTCCCTCCATTCCTCTCCCAGGGACTGGGGTGCAGAAGCTGAGCCTCTTCTTTTCCTGGGGCACAGGGACTAGCTCTTCTGCTGAGGCTGGGGGAGGCTCTGATGTCACATCGCTTGTGGCCTTGGGTGGGTTGCTGCCCTCTGTGAGCCTCAGGTGGAGATGAAGCCCTCTCCCCGCCTGCCCAGGGCTGTTCAGAAGGGGAAGTGGGGTGGATGGAAGCTAGGGTCAGGCACTGTGCTTGCTCGGGCCACTGGGGGAGAAGCCAGCATCTCTCTGAGGCAGGTGGGCATGCCCAGGAGGGGCTGCAGGGCAGGCAGTGGAGGGCTTGGGGCACTGGCTTGGTCCTGGAGAGGACCAGCTGGGAGGTGATGGCAAGTTCCTGGTCCTCTCCAGGCCTCGTCCCCTCACCTGTGAGGTGGGATGGGGCTCTGAGGTGCAGTCCCTGGCTGGTTGTGCCTAAGTCCCTTGGCAAGCAGTTAGGCTGGCCAAGCCCCTTCCAGTCCCTTTTCCAGGTCACTGGCCAGAGGATTTTATACACCAAGTGGACAGAGGCTCCTTCTAGAAGTAGAAGTTGGGGTTGTCTGATTCTGAGCTTTGCTTTGTGTTTCAGATAGCCCTGGGTTTTTGGGACTGTGAAAATCTCCTCATGATGCACCCGGTAGATGCTCATGTGCCCTTTCCAGGCCCAGGGGCAGCTGGTCTGTGCTCTGCCTTTAAACCCCCAGTGACGGGGAGCTCACCACCTTGCAGGGCAATGACTTCTAACCTGGGCTGTCATATCATCTGCCTCCCTTTAACTGTCCCTCCTTAGGGAGGGGAGGAGCTGGGGCAACTGCCCAGGAGGCTGAGCGGGTAGCTCTGGGCTCTAGGCTGCTTCCTGTGGGAACCACCGCAGCCCTGTGCCTCTGGCTCCTGGGAGGGCCCCTTCCCGGGGGAAGCTCAGTCAGGTACAGCGCCTTGTCCAGGGTTGCAGAGCGAACTGGGAGCAAATACATCCGGGTCGGACTCCAGAGCCCATCGTTGTCAGTCTTCTGGGCAGGCTCTTTCAGAACCTGGAATAGGATGCACCATGGCAGGAGGACGAATCAAGACCTCTGTCTGAGCTGGGAAAAAAGAAAAAAAAGAAAAAGAAAAAGAAAGAAAAAAAGAGAAAAAGCAACCCCCCCACAGAGCCAGCTAGGGAAACAGATGGCCATTGTCTGTGAGCTGAGCATGAGTTGCCAGGGCAAGGCCACCAGAAAGCCGGTGTGAACTGCGCTCTGTTGATCAAGGCAGAGCACCCCCCCCTGGGGGGGGGGATAATCGTCACAGGGGCTGGATGAGGTTGTCCACTGTGACTCACAGACAGGTGTTCTCCAGGGCTGTCCAGGCCTGTGCCGATGGCTGGAAGGATGCTGAGCTCCACGAGGCTCAGGCGCTGGAGCCTGGTGTTACCACAGGGCCAGATTGCCCCTCGTGATCGCAAGATGCCCTTCCTGAGGGCCGGGCCTGACCCCAAGTCTCTTTTCACAGTGGCTTCCCAGGGTAGCTGTTAGAATTAGCCCCATTTTTGCAGATGGGGAAGCAGAGGCACAGAGAAGTCGAGTAAGTTACCCAAGGTTGCACAGCTAGGAAGTAGAAGGGCCGCAGAGTGGTAAGCTGGAGCTGTCCCTCAGTCTGGGCCACTTTCTCAGGGCATCCCACCTCCCCACCACCCGGAGCTCATGGGTGCTAACGGCCTCATGTTCTCCCTCTAGGTCATGAGCATCCTGCTGTTCATGGAGCATGTGGTGGAGGTAGCTCAGGGCAAGACCCCCTGCAGGCTCTCTAAGACGATCTACCTCCGGGTCGGTAAGGCTGGGGTCTGGCCCTGCCCCTCTGGGTGGCCCCTCTCATCCCTGGGGTCCCCTGGTGGTGACAGCAGAGGGTGGGTACTCAGTACATCTGCCAGCCCATAAAGGTGGCACTGCGCTGTGCCCCGCACACTAAAGGGAAATGGGAACTCCCGCCTGGGCCCTGTGGCTCCCTGGTTGTGGGTCCTGTCCTCCACCTTGTGCCAGCCCTGCTGACCACACTGGCCCCCAACCCAGTCGCCCACACTCTTGTCACTCATGGGCCACTCCTCCAGGCCACCTGCCCACCTGCCCACCCTCCCTGGTGTAAGTGGGGTTAGTGCCCTGTCATCTGGGGACTGCGCAGGGCAGCTGTTCACTCCTGTGTCCCTGTTCACTCCCATGTCCCCTGGGAGCAGGTCCCAAAATGTGGTCCTTGGAGCCTTGCTGGGATTCCATGCCACTGTGGACCCCTTAAGCCTCCCTGCCCCTCTTCCAGCCGACCTGGTCTCCAGTTTCCTGCTCATCAGCATGCTGTTTGTCATCAGCCTGAGCCTGCTGGTCGGCGTGATCAAGGTGGGAAGGGGCTCGGGGGCCAGCCTGGGCTCTAGGGATCATCACAGCCTCCTTTGGGAGCCTACTTCCCTGCAGGATCCCCTGGGTTAGTGGTGTGCTGGACACTGACCTGGGGGCACCAGCTGGTACCCACATCCTGTCCCACTGCCAGTGCAGACAGGGAGAAAGAGAGAAGTAGAAAGCCTGGTTTTGAGGCTGGGGAGAAGGGGACAGCAATGCCTGCTTTGTCACCAGGGATGGGAGCCAAAGCACTGGTACAGAGGCGACCAGCACCATTCCCAGCAGTCAGCTGGTCTGGAGACCCTAGAGCTCCTGGTCACAGCAAGGAAGACAGGCCCAAAGAGAAACAGGGGGTCCAGCACGACACCTCAGGTCCTGGCCTGAACGGAGGCAGGAGTGGATGGAGACAGGCAGGCAAGAGGAGCCACCTGTCCCTTGGCCCCAACTGCCACCAGAAGGAGTTCTTCCTGGGCTGATAGGTGGCCGGGCACTGGTGGGGTGGGCAGAGTGGGTGACAGTTGGGTGTGGACCTGGAGCATCTCCTGGCCTAAAAGCTGCGACTCATCCCTCCATCGCCCACTCTTGCTTGGAACCCAGCCCCCATACACCTCAACTTGAAGTCTTCATTGCACAGGGTGGCTGCAGAGGCTCCTGCAGAAATTTAAAGGTCCTTCTAAGACGGTAGAGGAGGTTGTCCCTAAAGACTCTGATTCAGTTGGGTTGTTCCTATCACCTCCTGAGTGGTTTCAGAGACCCATACGATACATTAGGAAACCAACCTTTCTGTGATTTGTCCCCAGCTGTGGGAGTACATGCAGGGGACACTTCAGCTGCCAGACCTCCTGGGGCTCTTCCTGTGACTTCACAAACCTAGCAGTAGCTGACAGAGGGTCACTGATACCAGGGCAGCCCCCACCCTGAGCTTGCGCCAACCCTTCTGCCTCCAGGACCTGGCCCTTGCCCTCTGGCCTGCTCCCGGATGCTGCCCTGGTGTCCCTTCCCTAGGGTGTCCCCTCTAGTCCTGTCTCCTCTGTAAGATGGGCACAGAGCCCTTCCATGTTGGATTCCTGGGGCAAATTGAGCCAGGTCCTTCCCATAGAGCCTTGGTAGAGGGGGATGGTTCCTGAGGTCCCCCGAGACACAGAGACCTCTCCCCACCCTGGGAGTGTAGATGCAGGTATACTCTGAAGGGCTCAGCAGCCAGGGAGGGGGCACACATGGCACCTTGGGGGCCTCAGTGACAGCTTGGGGCCTGCCTTCCAGAACCGGGAGAAGCTCCTGCTGCCCTTCCTGTCCCTGCAAATCATGGACTTCCTGCTGTGCCTGCTCACCGTGCTGGGCTCCTACATTGAGCTGCCTGCGTACCTCAAGTTTGCCTCTCGGACGCGGCCGGTGAGTAGCAGCCGACTGAGGGCTGTCCTGGCTGGGGTCCTGGGCTGGGGTCTCGGGGTCTCCTCCCTGGGGGCTGTCTGTGTGCATCCCATGCTTGTCCCGGAGGACTCTGAGGGCTGCAGGCCACGCGGCTCCATGCAGAGGACCCAAGGCAGGGGTGTTCCTGGAGAGGCTCACCTCCAAGCTAGAGATGGCTGGGACACGATGACCCTCACCCTTGTGGGGGTGACAGTCGGTGCAGTGGTCCCCCCGGAGTCGCTTTGCACAAGTGTGTGATTGTTTCCTTGAAGACACTGAGGTGCTATGCATGGGACCTTGGTCCTAGTCCTGGTCTGCTTGTATTCCTGGCTGAGACCATCAGGGTGTCCCTTACTTCTCTCTCTCTCTCTCTCTCTCTCTCTCTCTCTCTCTCTCTCTCTCTCTCTCCCTCTCCCTCTCCCTCTCTCCCTCTCCTTCCCTCCCTTCCTCCCTCCCTTCCTTCTTTCTTTGGTTAAACAATTAGATTTTTAAAAATTGCTATTATTATTTTAAAATTTATTTGGTACAGGGTTTTGCTATGCAGCTCAGATTCATAATGATTCTCCTGTCTCAGCCTCCCCAGCACTGGGATTGCAGGAATGCACCACCACTCCTGGTTTCAGTGGCCAACTCCTTTCAGGGCCAGCCCAGCAAGGGGTACCGGGAATGGAACCCATGTCCTTGCATTTGCCAGGCAGGTGCTTAGACCCCTGAACTATCCTCCTAGCCCTAAGAATTATTATTTTATTTCCTTGTTCGCACCTATCCCCATTGACTATACTGAATTTGATCCTGTAAGCAGTATATGTACATACGTTTCCCCCCTTCCTTCCTCTCCCTCTCCTTGCTGTCTAGTTCCTCTTTCCTTTGAATAATGTCCTCTGTTTCACAATTTCCATTATGTATTTTGGTTCTTAGTTACACTTTCGGTTTCTTACATCAGAGAGACAATGCAATATTTACAGTTGTGTGTCCGATTAATTTCACTTAAGAGTATGGTCTCAAGTTCCACTCACTTAGCTACAAATGTCTCAAATCTATCCTTCTTTTGACAGAGTAGTACTCCATTGTACTAAAAGAACAACTGTATATTTTTCAATCCATTCACAAGTTGAGGGGCATTTGGGTTGTTTCCAGGGTCTAGCTGTTACATCGTGCTGCTGTAAACATGGATGTACATATATTGTTGTTATTTTTAATTCTTCTGGGAAGATGCCCAGCAGGGGAATAGCTGGGTCAAATGGGATCCCCAATCCTAGTTTTTCGAGACTGCTCCACACTGATTTCCACAGTGGCTGCACCAGTCTACACTTCACCAACAGTGGAGAGGGCTTCCTTTTTCCTTCCAGCATGTTACTGGCTGATTTTTTTTTTTTTTATTGCACAGTTTTTTATTTTTAAAGAGAATATAAAAGTAGTAAAAAAGATTATTAAAAGCTATACAGAACTTCACTAAAGAAAATAATAGAGGAATTCAGTAGTTGTTATGTCCCATATTGTCATCTTCAAATGAGTTGTTCAGATCACCAGATATAAGCCAGTAAGACTGGTAAAAAAAATTATAAGAAATTTAAAAGCAGAGAGAAAAAAAATTAAGTATTAACTGCTCCTTTCGATAGGCCAGTAGAAGTCAGCAGTACAATTAGCCAAGTGATCCTGTGCATATACATAGATATTTCTTTTTCCCTTTCTTCTTCTTTTCTCCTTTCCCTCATCTCAGTTGTCCCTTCCCCTGAAACAGCTTCTTTCCCTTTCACAGTATTCACTGTACCTTTCAGACCCTATTTTCTCTTTCAAGCTCTTACACTAGGGAGACATTATGATGTTTACACCTGTGGGTCTGATTTATTTCACTTATGAGTATGGTCTCCAGTTGCATCCACTTACCTATAAAAGTCTGGAGTTTATCTTTTCTATAGCTGAGTAATATTCCATTGTATAAAAATACCACATCTGTTTTTATCCATTCCTCAGTTGATGGGCATTTGGGTTGCTTCCAAGATTTAGCTATGACAAATTGTGCTGCTGTAAATGTGGGTACACACATATCCTTGTGGTATGATGTTTTCAGTTCTTCTGGAAAAATAACCAGGAGAGGAATAGCTGGGTTGAATGGGACCTCTAATCCTACTTTTCTGAGGAATCTCTACACTGATTTCCACAGTGCCTGCACCAGCCTACATCCCACCAACAGTGAAGAAGCGTCCCTTCTCCCCCACAGCCCCTCCAGCATTTGTTATTGGTTGACTTCTTGAAGTAGCCATTCTTTCTGGGGTGAAATGAAATCTCAGTGTTGTTTTAATTTGCATTTCTTGAATGACCAATGATGTTGAACACTTTTTCATACACTTATTTGCCATTTGGACTTCTTCATCTGAGAAGTGTGTATTCCTTTCAGGGAGGGTGTCCTCTCTGTCTATCGACAGTGGACTACAGAGTCGCCGTGTCCCTGGTCGAGCAGACGTGCCTGCAGTGGCTGTGTCTCCCTCTCAGGTTTTTACTCTGTCTTCCTCCTTTACCTCCCCAGGGCCCTTCCAAGGTCCCCTTGATGACCCTGCAGCTGCTGGACTTCTTTCTCAGCATCCTGACCCTTTGCAGCTCCTACATGGAAGTGCCCACCTATCTCAATTTCAAATCCATGAACCACATGGTGAGTCTGGGCAGACTTGCCCTGGCTGTGTGGCCTTGGGCAAGTTACCTCACCTCTCTGTGCCCTGTGTCTCAGGCTGGGTTTCCTGGAGAAATAGTTTCCTGTGAGTCATTTATTGAGAGAATACTCTCAGGAAGAAACTTGAAAGGAGCGAGGGAGGAAAGTTCTAGAAAGGGAAGAAGCCCACCAAGGACAGGGTGGCTTTGGGAGTAACCCTGCCTGATCCCAGGGTCCCTGGACTGGAACCATACACGGGAATAATGCTAGATCTTTCCTTGTGCCTGACAAATTAACCCCACCCATCAAGGGGTAAGAGCCACAAACACGGGTTGTTGTCTGTATTTCTGAGGATCAAGGATTGTGAGTGACTGGCCTGACTCAGTCTCCCTCAAGGCTGCAGCCAAGATAGCGGCTGCCCTTGGACCAGCGGAGAGATCTGCGTCCCGGGTGGCTCCCCATGTGGCTGCTGGTGCCTGGCCCCAGTTCCTCAGGTGTGGCCCTTTGGCAGCACTGCTGAGTGTGCCTGGCATATGGCTGCTGGAGCCCCACCAGGAGAATCATCCAGGAGGGCGACGTGGGGGAGCAGACAGACAGCAATGCCCTTTATGCCCTTGTCCCAGATGTCACTCGCTCTCTCCTGCCACATTCTGTTGGGTAGAAATGAGTCACCAAGCCTCGCCACACTTAAAGGTGGAAGAAACAAGCTCTGCGTTTAGGCGGAAGGAGCATCTTAGAATACATATTTGCCGATCACCCCTGAGAGACCTCCAGGGCTGACAGGGCGAGGGGGCTCCTATGGTCCCAGGCAAAGACACAGGGTGCCATGGGCAGCCAGTGTCACCTGCTGGGTGGTGTCCAGCAGGAGAGGGGACCCGGGAGGTGCAGCCACACCTGCTTCCTGGGGTCGCTGTGGCCCTATGTAGCCTATCACCTGGGTGATGGCTGTGTCACCCTGTGCTCGCCTGGGTGTGGAGTGTGGGTTCCTGCCCTCCATGGCTGGGTGCCACTGGAGGCCTCAGGTCAGAGGTGACATGGTTGCGTTTGTTGCAGAATTACCTCCCGAGCCAGGAGGGCATGCCGCACAGCCGGTTTGTCCAGATGATGCTCATCTTCTCCGTCGCCTTTATCAGCGTCCTCATCCTGAAGGTGGGTGCCCCCTTGCGACACTGCAGTCGTCAGGGAGCAGGGATGTGTGTCCTTGGGGACCCCATGAACTAGGTGTGGATATGCTCAGGTCAGGGACCCAGTATAGCACCCAGAGAGGGCCTGGCCTGCTGATCTGCCTGGGCTCAGCCTTGGGCCTATCTGGGTGTGGGCCCAGCCCGCTCCTGCTAGCTGTGGGCCCAGTCTCAGCTGGCCACTTCTGTCGGGGCCCAGGTCATCTGCACAGGGACACCCTGCGTCTCGCTTGGCCCACATCAGCTTTCCGTGACTCAGGAATCACAGTGAGACGGACTGGAGGTCATGAGGACAGAAGTTTGGTGGTGACAAGCAGGGCTGCAGTGTCGGGGACACAGTAGTGTCTGACTTTGAGTCCCACTTGGAGAGGTGGTGACACATGGACGTTGGGAGCAGTGTGAGCGAAAAGGCAGGAACACGCAGGAGGTCAGGAACGCCAGGGCTGTGCACCTCAGAAGTGACAGAGAGGGATGTGATAGCTGTGGCTACAGGCCGAGGGAGCTCAGGGGGACTCGGGGTGCTGGAGGCCACAGCCACAGCAGCCGTCGCTCAGCAGAAGGAGGGACCATTAAAAGCCATGCTGCTCTGTTGACGAGAGAAATGTAGCTACCACCGCAGACATCCGGGACCCACAGCGAATGGAGAAGGCCCTCCACCAGCCCACCAGTGCTCACTGCTGCCCAGTGTCACAGCTGCGTGGTGGCATTCCCTCTGTCCGCCCTGCATCCGGGTCTCCAGGTCCCGCCTGCCGTGGAGGCCCCGAGCCGCTTCTGCTCTCACAGCCGGGAGCCTGCACTCAGCGCCTCTGCACGCCCCCTCCAGGGCTGTTGTAGCACAGGCGCACTAGCCGGCCACTTGGGAACCTTCCCAAAGGCTTCAAGGGGAGAAGAGCGGGCACTGCTCGCCTCTGTCTGGGCCCTCGCTGCCCCCGTCCCCCTGGCCAGCCCCTTCTGCACTTGGCTCCCTGCCCTGTGCCTGGGCTGTCACTGCTCTAAGCCCCACCAGAGGACACCATAGAACAGGACCTTTCAGGTGCTGGACTTGCTCCTCTCACTCGGAGGCAGTAGAAGGGCTGCACTTCCTTGAGCATTTGCCCCGGGGACCCAATGGCCCTTGTCCCGAAGCGATGGCCTACATCAGGCACAGAGACAGACAGCCCCAGATAGGTGTTCTCTTCATTTATGAGTGCCAATCCTGAACATGTTGCTTTGTTGTTTGCTTTGAAATACAACACACCAGAGGTGGTTTTGAAGAGGACCTTCCCTCCCCACCGTCTGCTCTGTCTCTGCATGGGCAGGGTCCTCTGGTGTGGTCAACTCCTTGTCACTGGGGTGGTCAAGCAGGACTGAGCTGCAGGATTATTGCCAGGGTGGGGAAGCACTGGCCCCTCGGGGCGTTGGCATCAGCCCGGCGTGGCACAGCTGACCCTGCCCCTCCACAGGTCTACATGTTCAAGTGCGTGTGGAGATGCTACCACTTCATGAAGTACATGAACTCGGCCTCGGAGAGGAGTGACTCTAAGATTCCCTCGAAGGTGAGCCTGGCCGCTGTCCAATCCCCGCTTCCCTGCTCACATCCTTTGCCATCTGGGGCCAGTTGCTCTCCTTTTCTGGGCCTCAGTTCCTCCACATTTAAGTTGAATCATTGGGCTGGTGAGATAGCTCAACAGACTAAGCACCTGCTTAGGCAAGCACACGGACCCTGGTTCTATCCCCGGCACCGCAGGCCCTGCCCCTGGGCACGCTGAGCCAGCCACTGAGTCCTGGTGTGATGATGCATACCTGTAATCTCAGCACTGGGGAGGTTTGGACAGAAGGATCACTAAGTCTAAGCTGCATAGTGAGACCCTGTACCAAATACATAAATAAATGATTAAAAAATTTAAAAAAAGATGAACCAGAAGAAATGTGTACCTTTTCAGCTCCAATAGCAGAATACTTCATTCATTCGTCTATTCATCCATTCATTCATCCCTTTATTCAATATTTACTTTCTTTTGTTCTTTTGGTTTTACATCCAGTTCTGGCCTCAGAGAGCTCCTAGATGCTTCCTTGGCTCTAGAGGCACATAGAGTCTAGGGAACCTTCCTGAAGGCTTCAAGGGGAGACATTGCAGGGACTGCTCTCCTCTGTCTGGGTCCTTGCTGCCCAGGTGCAGGCACCAGTGCAACTCAGTCTGAAGCACAGGGACAGGAGAGGCATCTGGGCATCAGGGAGGACTTCGTGGAGGAAGTGATCCTGACCTGGTCTTGTGTGGTCCATGGTTGCAGCCAGTTGAAGAAGGGGCAGGGTGCTTATCAGGGTGAAGACAGGGATGGCTTCTCACTGTGAAGTACGCCAGGTTTAAATGATTTCGTCTGTGAAGTGAGGGCTGTATTACTCATGCTAGTTCTGGCTGCAAGTGGCAAAGACCTAACTCTGTCTAACAAATGAAAAAGAATGCACTTGCTTACTGGGCTTACAAGTCAAGGATAGAACTGGTTTAGGCCTGGTTGAGCTCTGAGGTCAAGATAGGAGCTCAGCCTCTCCATCTCTTGACTTCCTTTCTTATCATTGTTCTCATTCTTGGGCAGCATTTTCCTTACCATGACAAACTAGCTGCCAAGACCTTCAGCCTGACACCCTATGTCTCGGCTCCTCTGCCAGCATGGGGAGCGCATCCTTGGGCCACGTGTCTTTCTGCGCGCCTCTAGCCTAGCCAATGGGGTGCAATTCTGTGTGGGCCGGCCAAGCTCAGCTCATGTGTCTCCCCGCTGGACATCTGTTTTCTTGTTGCAGTGCTGGGATTGAACCCAGGACCATCACATGGTCCTCCATGCCCAGTTAAATAATTCCCTTCTTCTTCTTCTTCTTCTTCTTCTTCTTCTTCTTCTTCTTCTTCTTCTTCTTCTTCTTCTTCTTCTTCTTCTTCTTCTTCTTCTTCT